GTTGTCCACACGGGATCTCCCTCTTAGAGTGGACTCTAAAAAGTTGGCCCCCCGTTTCGTGGGCCCATTCCCGATATCTAAAATAATAAATCCTGTGGCTGTCCGTCTGCGTCTTCCTCCTTCCATGAGGATTAATCCTACATTCCATGTGTCCAAGGTCAAACCGGTTAATGAGAGTCCTCTCATGCCTCCTTCCAAACCCCCACCACCCCCCCAGCTCATTGATGGGGCACCTGCATACACCGTCCACCGGCTCATCAAGTCCCGGCGACGGGGTAGGGGAGTGCAATATCTGGTGGACTGGGAGGGTTACGGCCCTGAAGAACGCTCATGGGTCCCCGCTCGAAGCATCCTGGACCCAGATCTCATTAAGGACTTCCACCAGGCTCACCCTGACCAACCGCATGGGACGGCGGGAGCCGCCCCTAGAGGGGGGGGGTTCTGTAACGTAGTTACTCAAGAACCAAGTTTGTTTTTGTTTTCATGATCTAACTCTCCTGTCATTTCAGATCCGGCCCTTCCCTGTCATGCAATTACTCATTCCCCCTCACCTGCTTCTCTCCGCCCATCTCCTCACCCGCTGCTCATTAGCTCATTTGGCCTTCAGTATTTATACCACTCCCTTTTCACTTTGTCCCCTGCCAGATTGTCTTGTGTTGTTCCGTTCCAAGCATTCCAGCGTTCTCTTGTTCTGCCTGCCCGTTTTGACCTCTCGTTTGCCTCCCTGGAATTTGGATACCTGCCTGCCCCTTGTCGGATTTGTTTGCCTCTTCAACTGATCTCCTGGTTTTGACCCCTGCCTGTTTTTGGACTGAGTAAAGTGTTTTTCCCTAACTATTTGCCTGACTGAGTTGTCGTGCTTTTGGGTTCTCTGTTGCCTGGACCAGTGGTCCTGACAAATTTACATGTTTAGAATAGAATAGAATAGAATAGAATAGAAACTTTAATATGTTTATATTTATGGATTTAGCAGACGCTTTCTCCCAAAGAGGATTATGATGCAGATACAACATAACAGATATCCATCCATCCATTGTCCACCGCTTATCCGGGGTCGGGTCGCGGGGGCAGCAGCCGGAGCAGGGAAACCCAGACTTCCCTCTCCCCGGCCACTTCCGCCAGCTCCTCCGGGGGGATCCCGAGGCGTTCCCAGGCCAGCCGGGACACATAGTCCCTCCAGCGGGTCCTGGGCCTTCCTCTGGGCCTTCTCCCGGTGGGACGAGCCCGGAACACCTCCCCAGGAAGGCGACCAGGAGGCATCCTGATCAGATGCCCGAGCCACCTCAACTGGCTCCTCTCCACGTGGAGGAGCAGCGGCTCTACTCTGAGCCCCTCCCGGATGGCCGAGCTTCTCACCCTATCTCTAAGGGAGAGCCCAGCCACCCTGCGGAGGAAACTCATTTCGGCCGCTTGTATCCGCGATCTCGTTCTTTCGGTCACTACCCAAAGTTCGTGGCCATAGACGAGGGTGGGAACGTAGATCGACCGATAAATTGAGAGCTTCGCCTTTAGGCTCAGCTCTCTCTTCATCACGACAGACCGGTACAGCGCCCGCATTACTGCAGACGCCGCACCGATACGCCTATCGATCTCACGCTCCCTACCCCCGTTCGCGAACAGGACCCCGAGATACTTGAACTCCTCAACTTGGGGAAGGACGTCCGCTCCGACTCGGAGGAGGCACTCTACCCTTTTCCATAACAGATATCATCAACCTTACCATTATGTGCATAGATAAAAATGACTACTCACACTCTGTTAGAGGCAACAGTTGTGACAGTGTAGAAACACAGACAAGTACAGAAAGAATAAGACAAAATGTTGTATTTTCTATTCAGCAGCCACAAAAGACATTTAAAATATATCCAAACATTGGAAATATCAACAAGATAGACACACTGAGCATATTAAAACAGAATTAATTTGAATGATAATAAAACTACACACAGTATAAAAATAAATCATAGATAACTATTCATAGGTCTGTGTTTTTTTCTTAATTGCGTGTGAAATGGTTGTTTAAGACCTGCCCAGTTGAAATCATTCAGCCTTGTTGGATTTTATTTGTGTTTTTTTGTGTTCTCATTCATATTAGTGGTGTTCCTTTTGCCTCTTTTATATAGGTACATAAAGCAAGTAGCCAGGTTGTTCCCACAGTGTAGTATCTAAACCTTTTTTGTTGTTGTATTGGCCTAAACTACACTAGTGATAATGAAATGTGTAACCACCTTTGATAGGTCAGTGTGTTTTGCACACAGGAACAAAAGAGCAGATGTACAGCACTCTACCCTTGCTGTTAAACAGACTTGCATCACAATATGAATGGGTGGTCTGTAAACAAAAGATAAACAAAATATCAAATTAATCATCAAGCCTTTTATTGAACCCTTGATTAAAAATCCCCCATGTTTAATTAGAACACCTTTGCTACACTTGTAATGCGTTTGTCACTGGGTAAGTCCCCTGGTATTTATGCTTGGTGGTGCCTGACTCTGGTCTGACAAACATAAAAGGGATGACAAAAGTCGTTTCATGTGCATGAAGAATGTTGCATTTGTACAAAAATACATTAACAATGGAATTGTTATTTTTAGAATGTATGTGCTCAGTCTGTTACTTTGCTTGTCTAGTAATCTGGTTGCGGCTAATGTCTTGCTTCCTAACGCAGTGGAGAAGCTTAGATATATCCAGGATTGGTGCCGGCACAAAAATATCATCAAGTTACCTCACCTGCCATTTTTGTTTGTAAGTGGGTAAAACAGAGAAAATCCTAACTGCTAACTCTTGTGTTTTGACTATGTTTTACAGGCAGCAGCTTGTCTTCGACCCTTTTCCTGAAATGGGGTTATGAAAGGGTGTTGTTACAGATTATACTCTTAAATTGCACAGCATCCCACACATTGGACTTTTAAGACTTGATGTTATATAGATGTTCCATGAATATTTTTCCAAGAACAAAATACAAAAGTGGAAAAATAAATTATATGACTGACGAACCGGTCCTCAATACTATGCTGCATTTTGCATATACAATGCAAATTGTTAGGGTCATGGATGTTGAAACTGACAGTGATCAAACAATGATGTGAAAGTAGATAGAAGATTATTTTCAACTACATCTCACTGCACAGTATATAGTAGGTAGATTTTTCCATGGCTAAAAAGAAGTTGTGCCAGAGGAAAAGCTCTAATTTAAAAAAAAGGACTGTGTTTTGTTCAAGTTTGAAATGATCCTGTATGAATAAATGTATTCAACCAAATGGAACACTTTAGAACAGGTTTAGAAATTGTTAGATCACATGAGTGACATTTTGGGTAGGGACCAGAAGAGCTGGCGGTAGGCTACACTTTATCTGCCCAACCTCTCTCCTGCCTTTAATCTGCATAAAGCCAAGGCTGATAGAGCTGCAGTGTGGCACAGACATGAGGGCAGACAGTCATCTTTCTTCTCCAAAGGTGAGTTTAACGATTTATTCACTTTAGCATTCGCAGCTAATGTGAACCATTAACAAAAAAGATTTTTAGGGGGATTTATGATCAATGCCTACTTGTTCAACATTGAGTTAGCTATTCTTTGTAGAATAATCAAGAATTATAAAGAAATCATACTGAGCAATTATAACCCTACTTAAATGTTTTGAATATGACCTTTTGACTGCAGTGATTCCAGATTTTTTTACATTTGATATTTCCTATTAATATCAGTGGCATATGAAAATTATTTTCACTTTAACAGAATGTGTATTTTTAAGCATTTACTCTAAATCACTGTTAAATTTAATATCTAAAGGCTTTAGAATGTATTCTATTCCATTCTATTAAACCGTTAATAATTAACCTTTGACATTATCGACCATTAGATTAACTTAGAAAATGCAGTTACTCTCTTTGCATCTTTTAATAACAGTCTAAATCTAAACTAAACAGCAAGCAGGCATGAATGACTATCTCTTGGAATAAGGGTCTGTTTATGTTTGTATCATTGTTATTTTATTAGAGAAAAAGCCATTCTACTATTATGAAACTTTCAAACCCTGAATGTAGATAATGTATATCCACGTTTTTTTTTTCAAGATAAGTCTTAAAATTTGATTGTGTTGTACATAGAGCTCATTTGTAAGTTCTGAACATTTTCTTCTCTAATGTTAATTTTGTAGTATCAATGATCAAGTACGACATGCTAATCTTTACATCTGTTCATGCAACTCTTCCAGTGCCGGCTTTAGATTCAGTTCTGTCCTGTTCAAGTGAATTACGATACTATAAAAGCCAGATTGACTATAAAAAAAACAACAGGAATGGGGGAAAAAACACATTTTCCCTTCCACTTCCAGTCATGACAGCATCGTTGCTATTGAATTAATTAAATGACATTTTACCTCAACAGGGACATCTGCTCCCTCCTCACTCGACTGTCAGTAAAAAAAACTGTCAGTCTTCGATGGTACAAGCAAACACTGTATATAATAAGACAAATGCTTACAAATCCTAAGTACGAAAGAGTGGATTTTTTGTTTACACAATCTCAAATTCCAAACACCTCTAATGCATCTTGAAATGTGGTCGTTGTGACGAGTTCCCGTCAAAAAGCCCTGATGATAGCTGACTTGAGGGGAACAACATATTTTTTAAAAAAACTATTAATATATGACATGAATGTCTTGGCAGCTTTTCGTCAAAGTTTACAAAGACGTTCCCAAAGTAATTATATTTTTTTATTCAGGTTATTATGTGAAAAGACCACCTCCCACACAGCAGGCTAAGAGATAGTGTTCGACAGAAGCGTAAGATAAAAAAATAATAAAATAAATGTTCTAAATAAATACTCACATTTTGGAGAATAGCTAATAACAACTGGCCATAGTGCCATAATACTTCACAAACATCTACGTGGTCCGTCCATTTTTTTCACAGTTGATCTAATAGAGATGATTGTAAGGATTATAGCATGATACAGACCAAAACATATAATTTCCAAATGTATCTGCATGTTTTTACAGGTTTTATCATACCATGGATAATAGCAGCCTAGGATTCCTTGAAGATGCTAACTCCTCCCTACAGATTGGACTTCAGTCATGCACTTTCTTCAGGAACCAGGTCTCCCGTATCTTCCTTTATGCCTCACTGTCACTTGGCATCTTCTGTACAGTGGTTGGCAACTTCCTAGTTGTTATGTCAATCGGCTACTTCAAGCAGCTGCAGTCCCCGACAAACTCCTTTGTCATGTCCCTTGCAGTAGCCGATTGTCTTGTTGGCCTGGTAGTGATGCCTTACAGTATGATCCGTACTGTGGAGGGATGCTGGTATTTCGGTACCCTCTTCTGTAAGCTTCATTCTAGCCTTGATGTCATGCTTTGCACTGCCTCCATATTCCATCTCAGCTGCATAGCCTTTGACCGTTATTACGCAGTCTGCAACCCACTTGTTTACTCCCTCAAGATGTCCCAACATCGTGTAGCTCTTCTCATTGCCATTTGTTGGGCTGTTCCAATGCTAATTTCCTTCGGCCCCATTATGCTAGATCTTCACATTACTGGGGTAGACGTGTCAATTCCTGAAGATGCATGTGTATTCCTTGTCAGTCGCTTATATGCTGTCATGGCTTCCTTGGTTGCTTTTTACCTGCCAATGGCTATCATGCTAGTGGCATACTGGAAGATCTTCAAAGCAGCGAAACGGCAGGCCAAGCAGATCAGCGCCATGGAAAGCCAGATGGCCGCTGGAGTGGGCAAAGACTCAAGCAAGAAAAAGAAACACCGTAATACCATGAAGAGAGAAAGAAAAGCAGCAAAAACTTTAGGCATCATCATGGGAGTTTTCCTCATCTTCTGGATGCCTTTCTTTACAGTCAACATTGTGGACCCTTTTATCGAGTACAGCACAGAGGTTGTGATCTGGGATGTGTTTCTTTGGTTAGGATATATCAACTCATCTTTAAATCCCTTCCTGTATGGTTGTTTCAATCGCTCCTTCCGTAGGGCATTCTTCATGTTTATGGGCTGCAGGGTATGCCTTCCTGGAATGTCTCCAGGCATGGACTTATCACAGACAAGGAAAGAAGCAAATGAATGTACAGATCAACCATAAAAGGATTATGTCATCTATACAACAAGTGTCACTGTTAAAAAGCTCCACTGACCAGATGCTTTTAGTTGGTGACTGTACATAATCTTCCAGGAAAGAAGAAATAACTTGGAAAAATTAGAACATAAATAAGGTCAGACTTCAAACAACCTTGCCTTCAACCATGATTCATGAAATCACCACTTTTCCTTACACAAGCATGCTCTGTTGCACAGGAATTATATAATAATTTGTTTTGATTTTATTATTTGATTTGATTTATAACAGCTTTCACCTATTAAACAGAATAACTTTTTGTCAATATCTGCAAGTGCATAACACTGTAAAAAAAAAACTCCATATAGTCCACTTAAGTGTGTAAGACTTTAAGACCACTTCGTAAATGTCTTTCTCAAAAGAGAATCTATGGAAGAAACAACACAATCTAATGTCCTTTTTAAATGTTGACAATGTTGACAGCTTACAGTAAGGTGAAAGAATATCTCTTTTCTGGAATGTAATACAAGTAAGATATTTTCATGGGGGAAAAAAGATCTGTGAAATACTTTAGAATGGTCAAATTGTTTGTGGATGCTCTCAGTAGTTTTGTATGTCATTCATGTTGTTCACCCAAGCCACTAAACTAATTGACGTAGAAAAGTAGTTCATTGATATGGAGCATTTACAATGAAGCTCCTGTTGAGAAAATCTTATAAATGCCCATACCAAGGCTGAGTCCAAGATTTCCAAGACTCTGGCCCTGAATCCAATAAAAATTCAATGCAGCTGATTATATTCGAATGCAAATAATTTAACTTTATTATAGATGTAAGCATATTCAAAGCAAAATAGAAATAAAAGAGGACAAAAAAGATGCCAAAGCAAACATAAAAACATTTGACCTGGAATGGGATGAGAGAGGTGCCGTGGTATACATACATGTAGAAGAAAAATAAAAAGGGGGTCATACAAGGAGGCACCCCACCAGTCTAGGGACATTACATTACTGAACGTTACTAATGCATTTTTAACTCATAGAAAAGACATGACAATATCTGCTTCCCACATCCACAATGGAGGTTGATTGCACAAGAGAAACGTTAAATAACTGAAGGCTCTGTCTCCTTTTTTAGTTTTACTTCATCATTCTGAGATAAGATATTCCTGAATTTGGCAAATGGGCATTAAGGGGATTGTAAAAACCTCTGTTGTAAATGAGTTTCAGAATAGATATTGGACAAAACAACTCAATGGCTCCACATTGTAGGGCAAGAAAACAAGGTAGTGTCATCTTGTATAACTACATAACTTAAATTGCCTTGCAGAGAGACTGAAAATAACTCAAGTCTTGTCTAAATTAAGGAAAAAATTAATTGTTCCACATACAAAATTGGCCATTCAAGGGCTAAGAGGCATCACAGAAATCGTTATCAGGTTTTGCTGATATAGTGCTTTGTACTCTATGCCATGTTTCTGCCTGGTTGTGTCCCTTTGGTGGCGTCTGAGTCGTAGGTTGAGCGTCGCAAGCTGCAGAGCTTTCCTGGACAGATTCTGGCTGCTCCCTACCGCAACACCTGCAGGACCTCTTCCGGAACCCTTCTTAAGGATTTGCAGGAGTGGCCAATCTTCAACAGATTGTGTTTTTCCCCCATGTGGTTATCCGGTCACCTCTAAGACAATTCTGCAATGTGTTTAAGGGACTTATTGTTTTCCTCTCCTTGTTCTGGTGAACAGTCTTTTAGACAACCTGCCTCAGTAATCTACCGGACTGCTCATCCTCCAATGGCTTGAGCTCCATTCATCACAACTAATCCTGCCTGTCAATGTAATTGGGATGAAATACTGTTTCTGATCATTCTGGATCATTCCCTGGATTCATAAAAAGTCAAACAAGTATTACCTTACTTAATTTTTTACTAATACCTCATATGTTCTGTCAGAATCTAACGTATGCAACTCTGTTCTATTACTTACAATAAACGCTTTTTTATTCCTTAGTTACTCTTGAACTATATTAAATTCCTATCTTCCTTTTCTGAAAACTGCATTATCCAGAAGGTGGACTTATTCATCAGTTTACACTTAAATACACTATGTAAGTTACAGTAGCGGTAAAAGGTTGCAAAGGGAATAAGGGTCTGATACTAACATGTGAACAAGGAGGTGCAGAGGAATATTGTCCAAACATTCAAACTAGATAGCTATTTTAACCCTTTCATGCATGAATGCCTTTTCATGCATTTTAGTCAGGATTTTATATCTATTTTATTAAGGCATAAAAAAGGTATAATCTTTTTTTTTGTGAAATGTTTATTCAAGGAGTTTTCCAGATGTCCACTAAGGTAGACAGCAAACATTGTAAGATTTCTTAATAATGAAATGTGTGTATTTTACAATGTGTGGACATTTGTTGACATTTGTTAATAGACACCTTAGAACAAAAGATGCACGGGGGCAAAAAGATCTGGGTGAAACCAATATTAGTTCACCCATTTATTATAGATTGTTTTCCCCTAATTTTGGAAAGTAGATGGATAAGCTTACTTTAAACAAGTATTTAATTTAGGGAAACCAATAACCACATCTGCAAACAGTCAAAATGAGGAAAAGCAAGCCTGATTTGTGTTTTTAGTACGTTATGAAATTAATATCATTCCATCCCACATCAATCCTTGGGATTCCTAGATCTGAACCCTCTGCTTTGCCAGAGTGACTTAGTAAACTACAATCTGCATATTCATGGGAAATGAGCTGCAGTGAGTTTATTCATCCTGAGCCATAGTCTGTCGTTTCTCCATTATATAACAGGATCAAAGCTGTCAGTTCATAATTAGGTGATCAACAGGTGCTGCTGTAACATGAGCTGCAAAACAGTTTTTATAATGTTGAATGAATATTTCAGAATTGCTTTATTTCTAAGTAATTGGGGAGTCAGTTATCAAAGGTTTATGTGTGCTTCAATTGAGTAGTGGCCTTTTTTATTTTTACTCCTTCACTCAAATGTTTCAGAAATGTAATAGAAGGTCCATAGAAAAGTCCAGCAGTAAAATGTCTTTCCATTTCTGCCTTGATGTCAGATGTTTAAATTTATTTTATTGGGACTTCATATTTAGAGTTTTACAGTTTTCTTTCTCATAGTGCGAATGTGATTTTTTTAAAACAATTTTTATCCTGAAATTTCCAAAGTACAGGTCTTATCACTTGCCAGGGCAAAAGAGATTTAAGTAATTATTTTGTTAAAATCCATTAGTCTACATAAAATATCTTCTTTTTGATAACTTGTCTAATTCTGCCCATTATCACAAGTGATAGGGAGATGTGCTCACATATTCAAAATAAATTTCAGGTATAACACTTGTGAAATGTTGTAAATGTTGATGACATGTTGTTTTGCACATTGCAGACTGAAAAGGAAAAGATGCCAACTGTGACATTATAACATTTATCTTAAATAAGAGTAATCTATTTCCTACCCCAGCTCTCTTTTGACTATTTGCTTGACCCCTGACATGTTCAAGTGATGATAAACTCGTTGATAGAAATGTTTTTGGACACTACTGGGTCAACTGTTTCACATTCAGGAATGAGTTGTTCTTCGCTAAATTTCTTGTTTCTGTGAAACTTTGTTTAATCGTTTAATTGTCAGGCAACCGATTTGATTGTTGTTGTTTTTTGTTGACCTATAACATATTAACACGCATACATACAACTCAACATTTGCACTAGTATATCAACCATTCAGAGGTATGGCTATAACTTGAAGGTGCAGAGGTAAAAATAAAAAAGTCAATACAATACTGACATCTTCTGGATGAATCCGAAATAGGTAGCAGTGCCTGTTATAGTCACATAACAAAACAATTTTTTCTTAAGTTTTTATTTTGCTTTCCATCCGACATAAACATAGCATGAGAAAATACACAAAAAAAAGCACACTCATTTCACATTAGCATTCACGTGGTGTTGCAAATTACACTTAGTGTACACATCATACCAGGCTGTCTCACATACCCAAGACAATAAATACTGTGCAACAACTTAATTCTTGCGGGCTGCTTATTTTATGCCTCAACAGGAAGAAAGGAAGACACAAAAAGGTGGAGGATGAATGCCTGTAATCTTTGACATTTTACCTTTTGACTCAGTCCAAACTTATTCAGTACAGTTTTCTGTACTTGCCTCATTGCAGTTCAATGTTTCTTTCTTTCTTTTAACTTGTTAAACGTTTAAATCAGCAACTTTTCATCAGTCAATGTCATCTGCTTCATAGTTAAAGACAGGGAAAAACTGTTTATATAAAAAATTCAACAAAATGAAAGATTACGGTAACAATGATTTTCCTGCTTTCTAATGAGGAAGCATGGCACCCTAAAATAACAGCAACAAATCCAAAAAGCTTGCAACTCTTGTGTTCACTTCCAAAGTAAGAATTTAAGCTGTTCACAAGACATTTTTATTTAAATAAACATTATGGTCACAAGGTTTCTGACAAGGTTTCAGTCTTTTTTTCTTTTTTCTTTTTGTGCTGGAGTCATTGTTGTCAGCTTTGATTCTCTGTTTTCCTAATTTGATGTCCTTTCATAGTCTTTCTTGCATGTTGGTCCTGTATGGCCCTTTCAAAATAAGGAAAAATGCTCTCCAGGGGCCCTACTAAATGTCAGTCTCTTTCAGACCATAACACTCTGCCAGATCATAGAACTGATAACTGTTCTGCTCACATGAGTTGCAAAGTCCCATAGAGATTGTATCTACAGTATCAGAGTGACTCACTGACACAGGGGTGCTTTTTCCTGCGCCTCCCTTGATCTTATTTGAAAGATTGTTCACTTTTTCTCTGACATGGAAGGAGGACTTCTGTAATGGTGGGAAAAACCTCCATCTCTTTAAACCAGTCGAGCATCCTTTGCTCTTGTGCAACCAAGAGCTGCCCCAGGACTCGTGCACAGCGTAGCCAGGCGTATAGTGCCCTCTTTGCTCCATTGCCCTTTCCTTCACAGCTGTCCTCCACCTCTGGTCGTAGAAGCGACGCAAGACCCTCTGTTTTTGGTGGCACTGACACTTTAGGAGCCGAGTGAAGGCCCGCTGAAACTCCTTGCTGGAGCAGGGGTATATCATTGGATTGATGCAGCTGTTGAAATATCCCAGCCAAAATACCACCTTGAACACAGTTTCGGACGGTTTCAGTTCTGGAAAGAAGGAACCTAAGGGGAGACAGAGGTTTTAAAATCAGGAACAGAAACATATTTTTGCACTGTAAATCTTTTTCCCTAAACCTGCATTACATATGATAAAATTGTTCTTGGCAGCTGGAAGCTGTATGTCACTGTGTTGATGTGCACTTTAAATAAATTGAAACATATTTGTCAAAAGCAACAAATTAGAAAAATAAAAAGTGAGCTCATCCAGTAATTTGACAGGCAAGAAAAGGATTCAGCTTTAACACAATCTTCTTCTGTATATTTTACTGACAGTGCTGTTTTCCTGCGGTACTTGTATCTTTATACATAGTATTTTTGGCAAGATACACTATTACATGCTGCATTTCGTGGAATGTTGCCTTTTCCCACTCTTTGCTAGTTGTTTTTGTCTCCACAGACTTTGGACTGGACCCCCAGACACAGACACAGCATAGCAAAGCGGCAATGTAAAGTCTGCAGTGCCTTGGCCCACAAGTAATTTTTTCATTTCAGTTTTCTTTGCAAAATGGGGACACAAATGAGATGGTGAGCACATGATTTTAAAGCAGTTGCTTCATGCTGTTTTGATATCATCTTGCAAAAACATAATGTGTTTTATGAAATGCAAGCCTGAGGATTGTGCCAGTGGCTCATAAAACAAAGCCCCAAGACTTGTTTATAATGCTTTCTGCGATTGAGCAGCATCTCAAGTGTAGCATTTGCCCCTCATGGATCCATGTCTAATTTTACGCAACTTGCATTTATATCAAGATTAAGAAACTCATTAAAGGAAACAATGTTCACCACTAAATCATCTGACTACATTGACACCACCTGAAAGGCAGACATCATATGATATATCTCGCTGATGCTCAGCCAGTATCATGACAGCATCAGGTTATTTTTATCTGTTATTTTTTGTCCTTTTTTTTCTTTTGGCTTTCAGATGTATTACGAATATTGTTGGTCTTTTTTTTTAGGTATGTAGATTGTTTATTTTTTGTTTTTTTAAAGTTAAGATTTTTTTATCTTATCCTTTTTGGGTTCTTATTTTTTAAGCTTCACACAAACTATTGAACAAAATGCAAATGCTTTGAATCCACATTGAGCCTTTATCAGATGTCTTGGGAACTGTCAAGTCTCTCAAAGGCTTCATTGTGGTGACTCTTTTGTTTGAGAACATGGAACACCTCTCTTTTAAACAGCTGTCTGTGAAAGTTTTATCTCCTTGACATTTGGAAGTGAACGTCAGTATTTCATTTTTGGCTTTTTAAAAGTCACCCTCTTACCTATTATGATCTTTTAGATCAGTGAATGAATACTAACCCCACATATGCCATGCTGACCAGCCATGAAACAGCATCAGCTGCAGTGGTACCTGATTTACTGGAAGCTGTAAAGCTAACACCATGTGTGAATATGGGACTGGTCTAATGCTCCTGATATCTATTATTTTCCAGGAACTACGCAGCTGATGATTGAAATTTTATCTCTCCTTAATTAAAAAATCCTCATTCTATCATTGGCCCATATTTAATTGAATGTATTTTCTAAAATGTTAACGTAACTCAGAGATAAATACAGTGTGCGTCTGCATTGTGATTGGAAAAATATATCAAGCAATGCAGAAATGGTTGCAAGATATACTATGTATTGGTCAAGGAGTATGAAATATATCCGTGTTCAGGGTTCTATTTTGTGCCAATGCTCATGCCTTACTAAAATGTCCTCAGTTAATGAATTTTTATCTCAACATAGGTAACATTCTTAAATCATGCACTGTAAATATTTAGTCTTTTGCCACCTAACTAGGATATCTCGCTATAATAATGGACTAAAACTGTTCATTTATCAGCCAATGAAAAAACAAAGAAAAAACCACTTGAAAGGTTTATTTTAGTTTTCAATTGAATAACTTATTTACTCTTATGTTTTTTCAGATTTCTTAGAAATGAACAGTAAAGGTGTATGAAGAAGGGTTATAACATTAGTTTTGAAAGGTAGATTGACACTATTTCTCTTTATTTCACCAGTTCTTGGTCACAGAAATGTTTTTTCGTGGATGCTGCATCAATCTTAAGAAAGAGTTTCAGAGCAATCTGAGTGGATTTTGAAATGAGTCAGGTTATTGCATCTGCATTAGCATCTACACAGAGAAAAGGCCTGATGGTAAGAGATGTGCTAAATTTAAATTATTATTTTTTTTTTTACAATGTGTGTATGTGTAAACAGGGCCAAAAGTCTGTGTTCAATCAGTTATGTAGGACCCACTCCACAGGGATTAATTGACAAGGCGCCAATGATCCCAGTGGGGATTTTATGTTTTCAAAGAAGAGGTTCAAAGTTCAGGATTGCTTGCACATTATCTGTGAAAAAATGTTCAGTACCAGATTTCTACCAAGAAAGCAAACATCATAGGAAAACAAAAAATAATGCTTGAAGATTAAGATACAGCTTCAGATACATTTTTCTTCAATAATGAACCATTCTGGCTTGGTTTCCTTGCATGGTTCAATACTATTTTTTCTTTTTTGTATTATAGTTTCCTGCTCATGCACTTTGGTCAACTTTTCCAGAAGGCAAGTCGCTTGAAACAATGCTCACAAATTCCTTTATTGTGCTGCTGTGAGCTATGTGTAACGAACTAAACTGCCACTAAAATTATTTGTTTGAAGCTCATTCTTTAATAATCAGAAGAATTAAGCATCTGTCTGAAGCTTCCGTTTACAACCAAACTCTGCCTTTTTTCCTATTGAAGGGATGACTTGATTAGAAGCACCCAAATCTTTTCTTGCACCAATTCTCTCCCTGTAGGCATTTTGGACTCATAATCCTGTAAAGAAAGAGTTGAATGTGAGCTATGCCTGATAATATGCGGGTCATATCTTCAGGATGGCTTTTACGATGAATTAAAATGAAGATATCAGAGAGTAAGATACACGAGGACAATTGGTGGAAATAGGTTTATGCCTTTAAAGTTATTCTACTTACAGAGAAGCAAAAAAGATCTCTCTGTATTTATGTATCGGCATACTGACTTATTAAAATGTAGTGGTACTATACAGAAGGATGGATAGAGGTATGTATGTATGAATGTCTGTATGTATGTTTGTATGTATGTACATATATATATATATATATATATACACATATACATATCAGAAAGAGAGAGAGTTATATAGATATATTTACACAATGTGTATATATACACATTTACATGATCCCTAACATTTGACATCATTTTTCAGTAAAAACAAATATAGATACTGTATATATATACTTTTAGGCCTTGTTGTGTCATTTGATAGAGCAAGTATGCAGTGATCCAGGCCCTCTCTATCACAGATTTACGAAACAGAATCTCTCAGCAAATATTATTGTTGTCATTATGACAACCCTCTGCTCTTGGAAGTATTTTGTTTCAGAATGCTCATTACTAAAGAATGTCAGCCTTGTATGCCAATTCTTTGATAATATGATATAAGGCAGCTAAAGATTTCACAAAATGTCAGAAAAACAAGAAGCAATAATTAAGCACGCCTGCAGCTTTGACCTTAACTGACCATACCATCGTTTCTTCATGACAATTACATTTTGATCATCCAGTTAGACATATCCTCAGATGCCATTTTCTTTTTATTCAGCCAGACAGCTCTTACATCTTAGTGTTTCTGACTGACTTATAATACATTTGCCCTTAAGAAAAAACAAAATAGATGTCAGCAAAGTTGCCAAATGGAGCTTCATAAAAATAGCAACCGTTTTATAATTCTAAATTAGACTAACACATCAAGTATTCCTACTGGTAATGCATAATTAACATAAGAAATATCTAAAAACATGGCGAAGTCTTTTAAGTCTGGAGAAATTTCGGAACAAAGCACCTCATAGGATTCTGGAGGTTTTTGTGTGGAGTTTGCTTGCTTTTCCACTCACGGTTGGAAGTTGTGCAAACGGGATTCTGAAGTCGCTTGGGTTTAAATGGAAATATACTGAACATGGATATACGAATGGACGGGTTTTGGAATTATTGCACGCTTCATGACAGGAAATGAGAAAATGAACTTACCCATCGGTAGAAAGAAGAAAAAGGGCAGCCAACAGAGTATGAACATCCCCACCACGATGGCGAGCGTCTTTGCAGCCTTTTTCTCCCGAGAGAACTTCATCAGCCGCACTGAGAGCGAACTTCGAAACGGGTGGTTTTTGCTGCTTTTGGAGTTGGTCGGACGCGCGTGCTCCAGCACGCTGCGACAGTGTATACGGAGGACTACCTCCACAGACTTATTTCTCTCCCGTTTCACACCCGCTTCTAGGCTCTTAGTAGTCCTGCGGGCCACCACGTACACCCTAAAATACATGATGAGAATGACCATGAGCGGGAGGTAGAAAGAGAAAAGAGAGGAGAAGAGCGCATAGCCCGGCTCCTCTGTTATCCTGCAGATGCTGTCGTCCACAGGCGGTGGTTCCTTCCATCCCAGGAGCGGTCCAACAGAGATGACAGTTGATGATACCCACACAAGCAGTAGAATAGCCACTGCCTTCCCTTCTGTCATAATAGTCGGGTATTTAAGGCAGTATTTGACCCCGATATATCGGTCGATGGAGATGATGCAGAGGCTGAGGATGGAGGCGGTGCAGCACAGCACATCCACAGCTGCCCAGATGTTACAGAAAACCCGGCCAAACACCCAGCATCCCAGAACCTCTAAAGATGCAGAAAAGGGCAGGACGATGATTGCCAACAGAAGGTCCGCCATGGCCAAGTTGACGATGAAGAAGTTGGTGACGGTCTGCAAATGTTTGTTGCAAACCACGGAGAGGATGACCAAAATATTCCCCACGATTGCCATCAGAATAAAAACGGAGAGGAAAATCCCAACGCCAACAACCTGCGTGTCCATCGTGAAGTTCCCACATGTTGTGATGCTGTAATTGGTAAATAAATGATCGAAAGCAGATTCGTTGAACGCCTCAGCAAAATATAGCCCGTATTTGCTTTGGTTCCTCGCCTTAGCGTCTGTCATTTTGCGCCATAAAGAGAACTTTGGAGGAAGTTTTCTTAAGAAAGCAGCACGGCAGACATTGTTTTCAGTCCCATGCCACGCTGTCTTTCCAGGACGACTGTGATCAGGATCAACAATGCCATCAGGCAAACGTAGGAATGAGGTATTTAAAAATGCGCAAAACTGCAATATTACATCCAAACGATAAAAAATAGATCTTGTTCTCAAAGAGAAAAAAATAACGCAGGAGACTTTGATTTAGATAACATCCTATGAGTCGAATGAATTAAAATGACAAACATAAAATTTCGGGTCCATTTTACTGCATTTCTTCTATGCAGTTGCGTCTCAATGGTGGCATCTCCTGCAACAACTCTGCGATCAGAGTCAGAGCTGGTACATCAGGTCTGGATCCACAGCTCCACCCACTCCACACATGTTAGGGTAGAGTCCACTGTCTCCACAAGGGAGCGTAGCATATGGTCACGAATTCTTCATGCTCTACCCCTGTTCATACCTTTTTCCTGACTAAAGCTGTTTTCATAAACAGGCCTTTGCTCTATCTGTGCACAATGATCATAATATATAATATATATGTATAAAGAAAAAATCTAACAAACATAAGAAAAGATTCAAAACAAACACCATATTTTCAGCATGACTAAACATCCCCTCCAGAGATAGAAGGGGCAACATCAGTCAGGTCATCTAATCTGTCCAACACGTCTTGTGCTGACCACTTGTCTTTTGGCCTTTGGGCATGAGTGGTGAAGTTTCCCAGACATTGCGGCAGCCATCATCGGGCCTTGTGGGCTAGAGAGGGAAAGGCCTGTCCAAACCCCCTAGGGAACCCTGGATGAGAGAAAAGGGGTCAAGAGGCAGAGTCACAGAAAGGACAAAACTTGGACAATACCAGCCCTAAAGTCCCACTGTGGAGCCAACAAATGTATTGAGACCTGTATGCACCTTATTTGAATATGAAGAATCTTAAGCATATGAAAAGCGGAAATGCAACTGCACTGCCCTACTCTACCGACATTTTGAATGTATTCATAGGTTTACAGCAGACAGTGTTTCTGCCCTGACTTGTTGCTATATTACAGTGAGCTGCTCCTTCCAGCTGTTTTGGGCTTGTGTTGGTTTGTGTACCAGGGTGTCCGTTTCTTCACCGTTATTGTGCTTCAACCAACACAGGAATCAAAGATGCCAATATTGCATACGTCCTTTGCATTGGATGGTTTCATTTCTATACTTTATTGTTCTTAAGATACAGGTAATTGGGTACTCCACTCTACTTTAATTGAATATTTACATCCTACAACAGGTACTCCTCCTGCCAACGTCCCAAAACATGCATATCAGTTTTATTGGGTGACTGAAAATTCACCCTAGGTGGACGATTGTGCTTGGAGTGAAAATAATTCCCAAAAGAAAAAAATGACTAATGACTTTAATGAGTTTAACTCAAACTAGTTTTTTATCAGCTTTAACGTTTGATTCAAGCCGAACAAAAATGTAGCTAGTTCCTATTTTTTCCATTTATGATGTGAACATGCAGACTGTATAGAATGACTTTGCAGTTCAGCATTTATACAACTAAAACTTTTAACACTTTTAACACATCGCATGGTTCTGATTTAATGAATGGCGGGCCTCTCTGTTACAAACCTGTTGTGTTTTGATGTAATGAGACACGGCCAATAATATAAACCTTTACCACAAAAATGTGCAACAATTTCCAGAATGCCACTGTAGACCAAGCTGGCTCTAATTACAATTCAATCCTGTGGATGTTGGCAGGAGCCCTTCTGTCTCAAGTCTCTGAAAGTCCTCTCAGCTGTCAGAGCACATCCTCATTATTGAATTTATAAAAAGCTGGTGTCCTGAGGCCCACCTGCTCCTCTTTATGAAAGGGCTAAAACTGCACACCCAACTGTGAAAATGAAGGAAAAGATGGATTTTTTGAAAGGTGCTTAGAGCAGGAACCTGCCAGCGAGTGGCTCAGAAGGTGACATAGAGGAAGAATATTAGTTTGAGGTCCGTAATCATAATGCGATTACTTGCTTACTCTGTTTTTGTAGGTTTACTGAAATGAAACAATGCTTTGTGAGATCAGCATTTCTGAGGCCTTGCACTAAGACAGGGCATGGGTGTCCATATTCACTGAGAAAATGTTTAGCAATGTCATACAGTTTATTAGCAAAAGCCATCTTGGACAGGTATCTCTAAAATTAAAACACAGGAATGATTTTCATGCCAGTGTGTGGCTAAAAAAGTTGAACTGTACATGTGTTTTTTTGGTTGTTGGATGCAAGAGATTGAAATTATTAGCTGTATTGCTTCTACTGAGCAGAAGCATTTTATGAAACGTATGGGATACATTATGCAATCCGTTTTGTGGCCAATCGTGTTTTGGAACTATTTCTGTGCTGAACACTTCATGTGATGCTGGAAGTGGATGAAACTGGTTTGCAGGATGTTGTGAGGGACCAGACTGAATCAAGGACAAAGGTGTTCCAGAAATGAGAAAACTTCAATTTAATGATATAAAAAAATGACAACAAAAGGTCATACTTCCATAGAAGACAACTAGGATTATAACCCAACTGAGGTCAACTGAACAGCAACCAAACACAAACCAAACTGCCCTCCGGACACGGAACCAAGACTGCTGAAATAGGGGTGGACTGCCCTAAACTTCCCACATGAGGGAGGAACATAATAGAAGTACAACTAACACAAAATAGAAGCAAAATCATATTTAACTTAATACTAATAATATAGTAAAATGACAAAAATAACTAAGGGCTCAATTGAATTTAGCTTCAAAATGAACACCCCCTCTCCCTCAGTCTTTGGAACAATCCACCACCAGCCGGATATAATTGGGGCCCTTAATGGTGGTGATAGTATGAGCATCCACCACAATGTCCTCAGCCAAGAAAAAAAGGTGAGTTATTTCTAACCTTACATTAAGAGTCTAAAGCACTCAGTGGGTTTTTATTATGTACCACTGTTAGAAAAAAGCTAACTTTTTGCAAGCCTGTTTATCTGATGGTCAAAGGTTAGATTTTTTTTCTAAGATAAGAGTCTAGTGTTTAGAGGAGGATTTTACAATTGTGGCCAGAGGGACTGTCCGACGACGGCATGTACATTCACATCAGTCCAAACACACACAAGCCCTTCAGACTTGAATTTTTATTTAATTACATCCAGATTGCCACTCAGAGTTATGGTTCTGTTGTGTTGATACAGTAATATTGAAAAGGGCACTCCAAGTGAGCTAATTAAAAAAGGTTCCACAGAAAGAAAAGTACATAGCTTGTGCACAAAACTAATGAAGAACTGGTGTAAGTAAGCACAAAGACTGTATTTGACCTGGTTGGTATTTCAAAGAGAGAGCAGTTGGAGTAGCTCTTTGCAGTTTTGTGTTAGTTTGTTAGGATATATTCAGGTAAGGCTTGCCAAATGATTGATGTCCCTGATTTGTTCTTGTTAGAGTGGTTCTGGTATTTGAACCCATTGAGAGCTGGTGGCTTCAACTTTATGGATGAGGTTCCAAATAGATTTCCCTCTAGCCAGAGCCAGTGGTTGATCCTTACGTGCTTTGGTCAGCTTTTCTGTAACTACACCTAATGAGGTGAACATCAGTTTTGACTGAGGTTTATTGAAAGAAATGTATGGATACATATGGACACACTGAATATTCAGTGGCAACAAATAATCTTGTGTAGCTGGAACAGAACACAGCTTAACATTCAGCACATTTCCACAGGTTAAAAGTGCTCAACGATAGCAGCAATTAACTTAAGATATTTTCTGGTCAGATTTTTAACAATTACCAAAATGTGGAGTGTCTCACGCTTTCAAACAGCATCCATGTGTTCATTTCAATCTGTAATTCCTTTAGGATGGTTGAGCTGGCTAATTATGGCTTTACTGCTGCAGTGCTGTTGTCACACTGAACGATCTGCATGGTGTTTTTAAGCTGGGCTGAATGTAAAACTTTAAAGTCAGCGCTATAATTTCACAGACATATTTCAGTTTCAATATCCACTGTGCAAAGAGACAAAGGTCCTTCATCTTTGCTATGTTTTTTCAGTTCACCTAAAGGCATGTGTTGTTTACAACATTTGACAAAAGGTTTGGACAGGAGGGATTTTAGCCTGTGTATCTTGTTAGGGTGCATTATTGATAGTGCGTTTCATAAAATGTTATGTTTGCTTGCTGAATGAAGAAATGGACTGTGCATTACAGTTTTGGCTCTGTGAGTTATTTCTCATGCTGACACAGTCTGAATTCCATGGTGATATGAAGAAGTGCTCTGACACTGAACAACAAAACACATTCTCCTGCCTAATTAAGCTGATTTTCTACTTGTATGTGATCACAAAAATGTGATCCTTTTGACATTCATGGTAATTCTTCAAAATAATTAGCTGTTTTTTGAGCAAAGAAAATCATTGCCCGCCCACTCTTCTCTACTTTATCTGCGTCAGTATGGTCTCCAGTCTTGTATTCTAAAAGTGTTGATTTTATGCGTTTCCATTAGTGTCAGTTTAGATTTGTGATATTATAATTTAGTTTTACAAAAAAGCGTGAGGGAGTAATCTTTTGCATACGCATAGTGTTTCATGTTATTTTCCATTTGCGATGTTGCTGAACCAAGGGTTTGTACATGTAAAACCACATGCAAACATGATTTCATTGTGATTAGACTTTTAGAAAATACTTTGGTCGTCATGTAATTAAATATTAGAGTGCTGAGATTCAGCTGCTTTGAAGTTATGTAATTATTTGATATCACAAAAATCTAAAATGTTTAAAAGGGTGAAATGCTCATGTTGTGTCTGGGTTTGCCAAATTCCATAGCAAGCTGAATGATAAGCTTGTGCTATAGAAAAACAGTTTGTGTTAAAGCTTTTTTTCAGTCAAGTTTAGCTGTGAATCGCAGCTAACATGTACCTCTCACCTTCTCCACAGTTTTTATTTTTACCTTGTCACAGTGCCTCACAGAGCACCCTTCTAAGACCATGACAGATTGTTGCATTCACTGCTTTGTTTGAACCACATGGAAATGAAGCCTTTTATCACAAATTCCCACATGAGATTAGTGCTATTTCAAAAAAACAAAGGCAAAAACTGCCTGCAGGTGGAGAAGAGTGAAAGGA